GTTTTATGTGCTGAAGAGCCTTGCACTAACACTACAGTAAAGTTACTTACTTACTGCGGTCTTATTATAAAGTGTGACACAATCTCGTTATAATATTCAGTCCAGCTCACTACCTGTTTCGTTATCATCCAATACATTTGGCTGTGCTGACATTGCTGAGCCTCCAGTGAAAGATTCACAGATAGTAAAGATAGTTACTGACGGCAGCAGGCGAACTAACGCTGTAGCATGTCAGCTAAATTTAGTAAATATACCGTGATCATGTAACCAGGACCAGAAGTATTGTGCCGATATGCCGCTTGCTGCGCTGAATGAAGGAATGTTACGGAGCCGGTGTTGAGCTGCCTCTGAGACAGGAACGTTGAAGTAACAGAGCCTGAACATGTCTGAGTGAAAAGCCACAGCCTGCATGCTGGTGTTCCTGCATTTATTGCAGGATTTCTGTGTGAAAGTGGTTGTGTTTTGGATTATACTCGCGCATGAGGTCAAGCGACCGAGCACATGCCTGGTTGCAATCTTAAAACCGCACCGCTACTGGCCACTGAAAACTACATAATGCCCCTCTGTGTGAAAGCATGTTTCTCAACAGTCTCAAGATTTACGAAATTCCCAGGTCACACAGTTGCGTTTCAACACGTCACTGACTTCTGGCTTGGTGCCATTGATGAAACAGTCTCTCAGGTGGGCTTCTCACGGGGTGTCGGGGTTGGTTTCTCTCCTGGTTCTTGTGAGCCCATGTGTGCTGTGGATTTCTATGAGTCTGGTTTAGATATTCTGCTACATTGCCTCATTGCCCTGCTGTTTACTGGCTGATATTGTCAAAAGTCAATTCTCAAGGAAAAATCTGCTTTTATTCTCTGTAGCAGTGTGGCAAAATTGTGTCGCTAGTACGGCTGACGTACTGTAAACGGTTTGTGATGGTTCCGTCTGGCTGGATATTACGCATGATCCATGCAGTACTGCAGCTGGGGGCTCTCAGCAGCGCCACACAACTTTTTAAAATTCTTCCCACTCATGGAGAAAAGGAAGGACAGGTCGCAAACAGCTGTTGTGTGAAGCGTAATTGTAGCAAAATAGCTACATATAATAATATTACTAATTATATTTTTCTTATTATAATAATCAGACAAACATGCCTGATACTTTCACAGTCAGCCCAGGCCTACATGGTTGCAGCTATTAATGATTCTGCAGAAAGAATCCCCCCCCCCGAGAGTGAAAAAAAAAATAGTGAGCTCCCCCAAAAGCCATGGGATAGTTCACAAACTGGACACAAATGCATCAGAGTATCGTCCGAGTGAGCTGCAGTGTCTCAGCACATGCCGCTTTTATCCTAATCTCAGGGTCAGAGTACTATCTCACCACGGGAACATGATGTCTTTCACTGTTTCCCAAGGGACAAGTAGCGAAGAACTTGGTCAGCGGTTTTACAACACGAGCAGTAATAGCACTCAGGGGAAAGGCTTCAGGGAACCCTGTAGCTGCGCACATTACTGTCAGCAAATACTAGTTAATGCTCTTAGTGCGCGGTAAAGGTCCTTCACAGTCAATTAGGACATGGTCGAATGGTTCATCAATCACTGGGATTGGACACAGGCATGGGGAGAATTACTGATTTGGCTTACCTGACAACTGGCATATGTGACAATTGCGGGATAATCGGGCCACATCTGAATTCATACCCGGCCAAAAGAAATGTTTAAGAATGTTCTGGTATGTCTTGGTAACGCCTGTTACGCCAGCTGCTAACAGAGGTGACTATTGGCGTGCTGGCATGAGCACACTGTCACACAAACGTCAGGACTTTTGTTTCCAATCATACGGGCTTGTGCACGTGGAGGGACCATGTTAGCAAAATTGACATTACCCGGCGGCGAATCCAGGACCTCTAGTGTGGGGGTAACCTTGCCTCCCGCAATGTCATTACCCATCAGGAGTACTACACCCTGGACAGGCAGCTCAGGACACACTGCTACTGGGAAGAAACCAGTAATTAAGTCAGACATGATATGTATATGGTGCACTGGCCGTGGAACATACAGTATCCCATTTCGATGCCCCGCAGTACAGAGTCAAAACCACAGGCAGTCTAATCAGTGAAAGACAACGCTGAGGCTAAAATCACTGGCTGTGAACAAGCAGTATCTCGCAACACTTTTACCAAGCGCTGGTCAGCAGGCAACCCGGTAAGTGAAATACACGCATCACAAACAAAGGGCTTAAAGAAGGCATCTACATCTGTACACTCATTACTTTCACTAAGCGTGTGGAACTGATTTAATTAAGCCAACACCCTTAGGCTGGGAAGCTCTTGGAGATTGCTCCTTATGTTTCAACGTGTAACAGTTCATCTTTCTTTACTTGTGATGCTTTAGGCAAGCTAGACGGCGGTGAGGGTGGATTGCGGAGGATACTGCGTGGTTTACTACCAGTTACTGTGGAGAAAGCAGTCTTATGTACCAGAACATACTCATCGGCTAAAGTAGTGGCTGCTGCCCGTGTCTGCACTTGCTGCTCATTCAGATACATCACGACACTGTTAAGGAGACCCTTCTTAAAGTCCTCCAAAAGCATTAACTCTGACTGAATTAAGGTCAGTTACCTGACTGGCAGCAGTCCATTTATCAAACAATATGTCCTTCTCTCTAGCGAACTCAACATACGTATGGCTCAAGTAGGCATGATGGGAGGGAGGAAAAAAATTCTGAAAGAAAAGAAAATCTGAAAAAAAAAAAAAAAATCATGAAAATTCCCGCCTGTTGAAATGCAAGTGGTTGGACTATTATAACACACAAACAAATCATCCTCCTGGCGACTTTTTTTTTTGTCAAAAGTCTAGAGACTTTTACTGGTGTTATTGGAGACTTTTGTGGTGTTTGGAGACTCGAAAGCACACATCACTCTGCAGTAACTGTGCTCAACGAGCAGCGGGTTCTGCCGTGAGCCCCTCCCCCGTCCAAAAGCACTCACAGGCGGTCAGTCTCTCAGTAGCCTCGTGCAGCAGTCCCAACCTGCAGTCAGAGCAGAGAGGAGACACACACCACTCCGCGTCCAGGCTGCAAATGAATCGCGCATGCGCATGGCCGCTGCTGTTTCCGCCCTGGCTTACAGAGCGGGGTGTAAATGTAAATGTTTCTTCACTCACTCTCACAAAAAATAAATCACTGGATTTGACTGACATAGCTCCATTCACTCTAGTCTCTTACCAAGTTGTGCCTCGTGTTAGCTTTCGCTATCTGTTATCAATCTCGATTTACTGAGGCCTATACTTCAAAACCCAAACAGTCTTTTTAAAGACTAATCCCACAAACAGTCTTTTTTTTTTTTAAGATTATCCCCATCTCAGCCCTATCCAGTAATTTTTTAACTGCAGGCAGTGCACTTAGCTAACTACCCTTTTTCACTGTGTTGCAACACCCACGCGACAAAGACAAGTCCTGACTGATTAGCCCCCGATACTAGTCTCTCAACATAGCCACACACACACACACATCGTTACATCATAGCCTAAACTTTGATTTCTAGTGAGGACCAACGAGGCAACCGACGCACCACCAGCTGCAAAAAAGCTTAGAAGGTACGATAAAGCATACCTGCAGTTTGGGTTTACAGTCACAGCTGATCTGAGACCTCAGTGTATCGTGTGTGCCGAGGTGCTGGCAAACGACAGCATGAAGCCCTGCAAACTAAAAAGGCACCTCGAAACAAAGCATGCTGGCATTAAGGATAAACTGAATATTTTAAAAGAAAGCTTGATGGCCTCCATCAGCAACAGGCGACCATTTCAGTGCACAGCACTGTGTCTAAACAGTGTTTGGAGGCATCGTATGTTGTGGCCAAAAGAATAGATGAACTGGGTAAACCACATACAATTCCCGAAACTCATTTTGCCGGCTGCGCAAGATATGTGCAGAATAACGATACAAACTTGGTGTAGTACCACTGTCCAATGACACAGTCGCTAGGAGAATTTCAGACATGTCTAATGATATCAGAGAGCAACTGATAGAGTTCATTAAAAAGAGTCCTTACTACGCGCTGCAGCTGGACGAATCCACTGATGTTGCTGGGCAGGCACAGCTCCTCACCTATGTCAGGTATATGCGGGACAGGGCGATTGAGGAGGATGTCCTGTTTTGCCGGCCTCTTCAGTCGCACACTACAGGAGAAGCCATCTTCAATGTCCTTGATATTTTTATCCGGGAAAATGGTTTGGCTTGGGACAGATACGTTGGGCTATGCACGGATGGTGTGCGGGCAATGACGGGCAGTGAGCGTGGCCTAGCTGCTCGCATTCAGCAAGTAGCTCCACTTGTGAAATAGACACATTGCATGGTCCATCGTGAAGCACTAGCTGCTAAAAAATTGCCGGTTCTCTTTGACTCATCAAATCACAGGCGCTAAACTCTCGCATGTTTGGGGTCCTCTGCTAGGAGATGGGGTCAGGGCACGAACAGCTGCTTCTGCACACTGAAGTTCGCTGGCTCTCCAGGGGGTAGGTGTTACAGCGTTTGTATGAGCTGCGAGAGGAGGTGAAGTGGTTTTTGACAGAAATCAAATCCGATCTGGTGAAACATCTGGATGACACTATGTGGCTTGCGTCTCTGTCCTATTTGGTCGATATATTTGATCACTTGAATGGCCTCAACCTGTCTTTGCAAGGCCGCGAAACTCATATTTTGCTTCTTGCAGACAGAGTGGACGCCTTCACACAAAAACTTGAACTCTGGCATGACCGCATCAGTCGAGGGAACTGCGACATTTTCTCCAGCCTTGCAGACTTTATCACTGATGCAGGCATGTCACACGATTTCTCCTCTCTATTCCAATCAGCGTCTGAGCACCTGTCAGCAATCAGAAAACAATTTGAGACGTACTTTAAAGAGGATTATCGCTCTTTTGCATGGGTTCGAGATCCTTGTAATGATGATAAGCCTACTGATGATGATGATGATGACAATAATAATAATAATAATAACAACAACAATAAAGCATGTAACCTCATATAATTATATAGCAATAACCTAGTAATGATAATAGGCCTACTACTACTCATAATAATAATAATGATATGCTTACCTTCATCCAAATTCATTTGGGAAGGTAAGCTGGATCAGAGGAGGGAGAGGGTTGTGGCATACCTAAGGCAGACGGTTTTCCAGCTCAAGCTTCCGCAGTCTCACAGCCTTGTCACACTCTACTTCATCCGCTCACCTGCCTCGCCAGCCAACCCCGAGTCAGGCTGGGCTTTGCGGCTGGACACATCGTCCACCTGTGTATGGATGTCTGCTGGAAGTGCCACTCCCACAGGTTGCTGTGTCTGCTCAGGTAATCTGTCCCTGCTCTACCAAGCCATCAATAATCCGGGTCCGAAGATCCTTTTTCAACAAAGATTTGGCAACTGTGATTCCAAAATGGCAGGCTATACAAATTAAGACATCTTCACGACAAGCGAAAGAATCCAAATCAAAACGGACCGCCATAGCTCAGTTAGCCAGCTGCATTCCCCGAAGCTCAGTTGTGTCCACTCAAAACTCTGAGTAACAAATAACTTTCCACCAGATCCAATTCAAATCCCGGATGAGCCCCCAATTATGTTACATCCCCACCTGCTAGGGGTAAATATAAATATAAACCAGATGTACTTGGTGAAGTGAAAATGTTATTTATTAAACAGAGGGGAAACAAACAAAAATCAGAACAGAAACTGGACAATTGGGTGCTGCATAAACCAAAGAACAAAATATAACAAAAAGAGATCCCTTCTATACAAGGGATTAATAACCTCTAAAGCTAGTGAATCTAATACAACAAATGACTAAAAGTATAAAGGTGTATCAGTGGTAAGCTGATCCCTAGCCCAAATCTGCACACCAAACAAAAAACAAATCATTTAGTTTGAGACAGGAGTGTTACTGACTCTCAGTAAACACTAACTGGCAACACACAAGAATTTAGCTCACAGCTAACAGCAAGATGCCGTGAGACCAGTCTCACAACACAAAACTATCATTAACGTGATAGCTACTAATTGGCAATAAAAGACACACAGGACTCAACAAAGTGATCAGCACAAGTGCAAACTACATGGTGAGTGGTAGCTGCAAGGGCTGGGCGATATGCCAAAAAGTCATATCCCAGTACTGTTAGGTAGAATTCCGGTATAAAATATATATTTTACACAATGGAAAACCTAAAGAAGGTGAGTAGAGTCGAGGCGAGGCGAGCTGAGAAAAGGGACCGTCTCTCTCTCCCTGTATGTCCGCTTTGGTGACTTTCTTCGGTGATAGGCTGTATAAAGTCACAGAAAAAAAAAAAACAGAACTTGTCTTCAGGACTTTTTCTCCTGTGATTCCCTTCACAGCAGCAGCTGAGCTGCATGTTGAGGAGGCCTGTTGACCACGTAGCCTATCACTGTCGCTTTACCTGGTCTGCTCTTCTAAAATATCCACAATGTCGCGACTTGTAACGGAATCACTGTTTCTCTGATAAATGCTACTGTCTGTTGCCTAACCTGGGCGGCCCGCCGCTGTAAAGTGTATGTGTGGGAAACAATGAACCGTGCTTTTCTTTTTACAAGCCAGCTATTTAACAGTGTCGACCAGCACTGTGTCTCCCTCCATCTTGTACAGATGCAGAGGGAGGGGCGGGGCTGCGCGATGAGGGAGAGAGAGAGGAGCAAACGCTGGCAGGACTTTACGGAAACATATTAATTAACTCAACATCAAACTATATCGGTATAAACGGTATTGTCTAATTTCTCTCTTTCTCTTTTGAAATTATATCGGTATACATTATATACCGCCCAGCCCTAGTAGCTGCCTTGACACAGCAGCAGGTCAGCTTATTTGAACCCAAGGAGCTTGAAGGCGGCAAGAGTGAAATACATAGACTGCAGCCCTCGGTAGTGTAACACACAACTACAAGGCAATTGACAGAAAAAAACCCATATAAAAGCAGGAGCTCAAAAAAATATAGAGAAAATAAAACAATTCTGTTTACTGTGAAAATAATCAATAGTAACAAGTATCCTATTTACAAATAAGCACAAACTTCATTCTACACGTGGTAATTAGTTTTTACTTATAATAAAGTTACATTAATAATGCTTAATAATGTTTTAGGGAAAACAATTATCTTGCATTCAGGTGTGAGTTGGGTCTGGTTTCCTTGTATTTTTCATCACTCTAACATTTGTGTAGACAGCTTCATCTTCAGAGTTACCTGGGAAAATCAAAACAGATGAAGTGAAATGTGTTTTGGAGTTGCAGCCTGTCACAGAGGACATCTTTGTCTTTTTCAACTTTTTCATCATTATAATTGTCATGGTATTAAATGAATGTAATGCATTAGCTATAATTTAAAGATCTATAAAACTGGTAAACTAACATAATGTCAGCATGGCATATTGAGACAGACTTACCCTGTTTGTTATGCAGATGTATTTTACAAAGACACAGAGACACAAGGAGAAGGAGAGTGACAACACCAGCTACCACAGCCACAGTCACGATCACAAAGGAAGAAACAAAATCTAGGAAACACAAATAAATATCAAACCAAATTAGTTGACAGAAGAAGTTTCTCAAATATTGCTTGTCCGTCATTGTCCTCCATCAGGTATTCTGAATTAATTAATTAATGAATTTAATTGATTAAGGTTTTTACAATTTTGGAAAAAAGAATGTCAAATAGTTGTGAAGAACTGATATTTAGCAAAACAAGCAAGGCTCTTAAACTCTGTACCTTTGCAGCTTTGTAGGTGAATAACTGTTTCATCTCTGCTGACATTGTTCCAAACATTACACTGCAAGTTTCCTGTCAGCTGACCTTGCAAGCTGATGGTAACATTTGAAACTCTGAGTTCAGTTTTATTCCCAGCTACTGACTGCATGTTTGCTGTCCAGTTGCTTGGGGAATGGCTGTGGCCTCTGCTCTGTATCAGTGAGTGACCATCCAAAGTCAAAATGAACTCTACTCCATCTCCCTCAGAGGAGCAGCTGATGTTCATCTCTTCTTGTGACAAACACATCTGAGACACAGCTGGCTTTAAAACTGGAGCTGGAAGATATTCAGAGTTACTTAGATAGTATACAGCACAACATGAAAAGTAAAATCCACTACCAGCTCTGTTCATTGTAGATTCAAAGATTTTTGTGACAGATACTTTTGCAGCTACTCAACACAACAACACAATATTCAAACTTGTTCATCAGATAGGAAGCTGTAAGCCTGTATTTAGCATGGGATTTCAGTGACATTTTTTAAAATAAAATGTACAATAAATATTTTACACGTATATTACCCAGGTTAACAATATATTATTTAATCCCTGTTTTAGACATTGAGAATTAGAATTCAACACAGTTTTTTGGTTTAGAAAAATATTTTAAAAATCTCTTTAAAATCTTTTTTGTAACCTACCTTGTATTTCTAGATGGACTTTCACTTTTTTCAGTGAAACACCATTAGATCCAAATTCTTCCAACAGGTAATCTCCAGAGTGTCTCTTCATTGCTTTACCTAGTTTGATTGTTCCATTGGTGAAGCGTTCAAACTGATTTGCATATTCCTCATGCAGAGTCACTGTCTGATTTTTGACTATTTTTAAAATAAGATATTTATCATCCTTTGTCAATTTAACCTCTGTATTTGTTGCATTTGGCAAATGAAAAATCAACAGCTGTCCAACGGCTCCAAAACACTGCTGAGCTCCAGAGCGTTCAGAGAAATTGCATTCAATCGACCCTAAAAAACAAAACGAAAAACAATCAGTCGGATAGAATCAACAATTCTCAATTTCAGTGATTTTCTTTGTAAATTTGCCTGACTTAAAATACTGAATCATTTTTTTTACTGAATAATTGTCTATACACCATACTGTTAACTGCAGTAAGATAGTGTTACGTTGCAGTGTACCTTTTCCCAGAGCTGTTTTTGTCAGAGCCGTGAAGATCACATACAGGAAAATCATTGTTTTCTGTTGTAACACATAAGACAAATGTAATGTATGATTTATTTTATTGCATCATTAATACACTGTAAAATTTGTACATGTAAGATTAGTTTTTAGTTTGAAGGTAAAAGTAAATTTGAAAATAAAAGGAAGCATGCTCAATAAGAACAACATGTATGTAGTAGCTACTTTTTTTAAAACGTTTCAGAAAACTGATTAAAAGCCATACTCTGTTTAGCAATAAAATCATTAAAAAGTACTCCAATGTTTCTCCTTACAACAATTTTAAACTCTCACTCACCGCTGTTGCGATGTCTTCTTTGTGTCTGAACAGTGATCTGTAAATTTTCCACTGACAGAAGTTGGTTTCTGCTCGTCTTGTCTTTTTGTCTTGTTGTGTGATGAGAATCAAGGAAGGGCTTATTGTGTTGTCACCCACAACTTGCAGTACTCCGATAAAGACTGCTGTCCAACTATGGTTTCTCAAATTTAAAATAATGTCCAATGTGCTGTAAATCTTTGGTATAGATTTTCTATGGTCTTCAGTTTTAACATTTCTAAGTCATCTGCTGTGTGAGATGTTCCAGTCATTGTGTGAATTACATTTACCTGAAACAGTTTCTAAATACAGTTACAACATAAAAATGTCGGCTGCTATAAAACAAATTTAACTTATGGGCCACTACCTGTGCTTTTGGTATTTGTCTACAGAGGGGCACAATATAAAGAAGAATGACTTTAAATTCTAAACACCAGTAAAAGTCACACACATAATAACAAATTGCATGTTTTACACACACACACACACACACACACACACACACACACACACACACACACACACACACACAGGTAGCCACTTGGTGTGTCTGATGAGCTGATTGACACTCATTGGTGAAAAGTACTTCATGAAATGTATGATTAGGATAAGGATAAAGGATTATCCTACTGGCTTCTAAATCTGATTACTGTATTTAAATCTCTTGTATTAGTTTTTGCATAATTTTTTTTTACTTTTATTAATTCAACTACTGCAGGACTCATGTAAACACTGCTGAGATTAAATTGGTGCAGTTAAACAGTCACAACAGCATATTTCAGATATTTTACTTAATGTCAGAGATAATTACAACTTGTATTTTTGTATTTTACATTTCTTCAAGGGTTATGGATGTACTGTTAGTGACCTTCTTATTCTAAACTGGCAATCAAAACTCTATTAAACTATTTAACATGTAAAATGAGGCGTGAGTTGAGTTTCTATTTCAGCTGCAAATACAGATGCACAAAAAGCCTTTGGCTGTGAATGCACCATCCTTTACCTTATACCTTTATCTTACCCTATAAGATGTATTTTCCTTACTACTCTATATACATTTCAGGGGATCACCTTTTGTTGTTCTTGTGTATACAGTACAAGTTTCTCTAACAAATACCAAAGAAACATCTAGCACCATTTCTAATGTCATAACACGTATTTAAATGCAGAGCATTTAGTTATTAAGGCATGGGTGCAACATTTTTTTAAAGTGGCTCCAACACCCACGCATGAAGACCTATTGTTTTATTTGTTTTATATATTTAGGCTCCTTGTAAACCTCCTTGGCGTTGAGGTGTTGTATTTCTGTAAAGGACATGTGAAGAAATAAACACTTCCTGCCTCTCAGTGTACTGTTTAGCGAAGGTTTTTCAATTATATCCATCCATAACTACATATTACATCTGCATCACAAACCTTCTCATAGGCAACTCAGGTAATGCAAAACTGTGAGACAGACAGTTAAAAACCACAGCCTTTTGCAGCCACTGCCTCTTTCTCTGTCACTTCCTCAGCCACAGTGCCTCATTTAAACTCTCACCTCCTTTCTGCCATAATCACAGATAAACCAAGGTATACAATCAACACAGTACAGCAGACAGGACAGGCAGCAACTTTATTTGCTCAAAGAACATCAGGTGCAAAAAAAAATGCATCAGAGATTGTTTCACATTTTCAGCATTTTCAGATATCTTTTGATCTGTAGTGTGAATCTGTTAACCAGAGGCAGCTACAATGTGGTATCTGACGTTAATTAATAGCACAAATAATGAGCAAATGATTGGCAGACTTTTTCCACATCTTAATTTTATATATTTAAAATGAAGAAACTCATTCTCATTCTGGGATAGAAACGCATGCCTTTTATTTCACACAACACCAACGTCCTGGAGCCTCTTGCTAGGTCACTGTTTTCTTTTCTTAGCTTCTTCCATCAATGTCTTTTTCGGTCTCTTTGCAGGGGGTGACAATAACAGATGCCAGCATAAACCTGAGACAAAGAGAAAACTACAGAAAAGTTAGTCAAATAGGGCCTGATGACTACAAGATGTAGAAGCTGCAGGAGCCTCATGTTCAGTCATATCATTGTCTCTTTACTTTCACAAGTTACAGTAAAAACCACAGAAAGCAAACACATGCTGAGTCGAATATATGGGAAAAATGTCCTATTGTATATTCTTTTTTTTTTAAGAGCCCAAGGTGATGTGTTGTGGTGAAATGTCTGTTATCTGACCAACCGTAGAGAACCCAAATATATTTAATTTACAATTATATAAAACAAAAATGCTGTAAAATCTCTCTTTTTAGAAACTGGGAATTCTTTCTGTTGACAAATTGAATAATTGTTTCAGCTTTAGTTTCAATTATATTGACATTTTTAAAATATTTAGTGTGCATGGATCCATCCTGCCTTATATCAATGGTTCAGGCTGGTGGTGGTGGTGCATTGGTGTGGGGGATATTTTCTTGGCACACTTTGGGCCCCTTAGTGTTATGAGTTGTAGTTTTCCCTGAATTACTTGGGACCACTGGGATTAGTTTGAGTTTTTGCCATCGTTTCATATGTCTATCTATTTGCCTGTTTCTCTCGTTCCTTGTCCTTAGTAGTTTATGTCTCGTCTCTCATCTTAGTTCTTGGTCCTGTGCTTTAGTTCATGTTTAGTGTTTTCTTTATCGTTGTACTTCTGTATTTTCTCATTATGGTCTGTCTTAGTCCTTAGTCTTTTATCTCCATGTTTTAGGGTAGTCCTATCTCCTGTTTGGTCCCGTCTCTGTCTGTGTCCTGATTTTGCTGTCTTTCCATGTTTTTGTGTTTTACTTTGGTAGATCTGTCCTTGTGTGTTCCTGTGAACTTTACTACTTGTTTATTTTGGTAATCTTCTGTACCTGGTGTCCTTGTCTAGCTTTGTCTGATTACCTGATGTATCTCAGCTGTGCTTCCCTCCCTGCTCGTTTACGTGTGTGTGTATATATTGTCCTCAGTTTTCTTCAGTCTTTGTCATGTCCTTGTATTGTCTACGTCGAAGTTGAGTGTCCTGCCTTGTACCCTGTTTCCTGGTATTCTGGATTATTCCCTGAGTTTTGTGGATTTGTGCCTTGGATTCCCTTTTGTTCTTGTTTTTGGATTTCTTTCCCCCTGGATGTCTGTTTGAACTTTAGCCACTGAGCTCCCAGCGTTAGCCTGTTTGTCTTTTTGTAAATAAATCTTTGTTTAAACTGCATCCTCCTCGCTTACGTCTGCATTTGGGTCCACACTTCCGCCTTCACTCCGCCAATCCTGACACTACTACCAATTGAGCATCGTTTAAACGTGACAGCCTGAGTTTTGTTGCTGACCATGTCCATCCCTTTATGACTACAGTGTACCCATCTTCTGATGGCTACTACCAGCAGGATAATGCACTGAAGTATTCTCCGCTGCCTTTAGTTGATGTTTTGAAATGAGCTCTGTGAGCTCTTCCTTTCAATATGTGAATGCAGTTTATATTGTATATATGTATTTAATCTGTGTGAATTGTACAGATAATTACAGGTGATAACTTTTGTGTTGGGTGCCCAAACACACAAGAAAACAGGAGAGAGAGAGATCACACAATAATAAATACAATGCTTTTACTGTGTCCTAATATATAACTTCAACAGATTTGTTAGAAGTCCATTTGCTAAGATGGTGTCAGCTGTCTATGAGAGTGTACAGTGAACATATGATACGCAGTGTTAGACAAATTAAAAATATATGAGCAGTCTGCAGGCTTTAGTCCTTGCTACAAGCAAGGAAAATGGAGGGAGAAAATGGGTGTTTGTTTAGTCTCTTCTGCGTAGTAGTTTGGACAGAGTTTTAACAAATGTGCTATGTAGCTACTAGCCTAGTAAGTTATTATTGGCTGTAGGCCAGGGACATTAACCTGTAAATCCATTTATGTTCTCTGTGATTTGCTGTGGAGCATTACATTATGCTCAACATGCATATATAGTCTTTTTTTAAATAAAATGTAGTATGCTCTTGTAGTTGCAGTGGTGTCACGCCACAATTCAGTAGCTCATTGATTCTGAGTTATAGTTCACATGGTATTATCAACACCATTACGTTTTCAGTTTCCTCTATAAAGCCTACAGTACCTATAGTATTCTCAAAGTGGATAATCAATGAGAGGGGAAGGAAACCTCAGCGGAAACCAAAAAGCAGGCTACATACAGACAAAATTAATGACAGTTCTGCCTACAATTAGCTGATCACATTATACAAAATAATAATAAGCCAAGTCCAGAAAGGACATTTAAAAAAAAACAATTCATATGCATCTTATCATCCTATTTGCAATGTTACAATATTTAAATAGAAAATATTTACTCACAAAGACATAGGTGCAGCAACTGAAATGGAGGACGAGCATCTCTCTCTGTATTTTAATCAGATCTCTGTATGAGGATTTGTATTTCTGTAAAGTGTACTACAAATAAGCATTTCCTGCCTCTCAACATGTAATCACATGGTATTTATTTCCAAACCAAGTACATGTACATACAGGTTGTATCACCAAAGTTTATTAGAGGAAACTAAAAGTAAACTCATGTCTAAGGTTGTTCGCAACAACAAGAACCGAAAACCCAGTGAACCACAACTCTGTTCTCAGTCTCTGCTTCAGCCACAGTGACGGGGGGCGGGGTTTGCAGACGGTAGCTCCGCTTTAATCTTCACAAGCTGCAGAGCTGCAGTCTCTATTCATTCAACTTACACTGTAAATTTCCAGCTAAACTGAGGCTTTTTGAAGACCCTTCTCTCTCTCTCTCTCTCTCTCTCTCTCTCTCTCTCTCTCTCTCTCTCTCTCTCGCCTGTCATTCTCTTTCCGCGACCCTGTACGCAGGATAAGCGGTTGACGATGGATTTGTGCTTCACATTGTTTTAGGTTTAGATTTTAATATAACTGCTTTCCAATCATATTTGCTTTCAGGGTGCTAGGGACGTGTTGTTTGTGGCTAAGGGCGGCCTACACTATCTTCCAATTTCTTAGCTGTCCATCAATTGTAGTTTGCCTCTATTTTTTGTATTTCACCTATT